ATGTCCACTGAGGACCATCCGCAGACAGACGGCCAAACAGAGCGTGTCAATCGAGTGCTCGAGGACACTCTGCGCAGTGTGTGTGCGGCAGCACCACGTACTTAACCGACGCAGCTTCCAGTTGTTGAGTTTGCGCTCAACAACGCGGTGCACGCGTCCACGGGGTTCACGCCGTTCTACTTGAACGGCTTCCGTCACCTCAGAGTGCCTCTCACTCTTCGAGGAGACACTGACTCCTCTATTCTAAGTGGGGGAGAGGCTCGGAAAGCCCTTTCCTCCCAGGTCTCGGATGTCAGACCAGTTTCGCTGCGGAAACAGGTGAAGTCCTTTATGGATACCAAGCTGAGCGTTGTCAGCAGGGTCCGCGATGCCATGGCAGCGGCCCAAGATAAACAAAAGGAGTACTCTGACAAACATGGAAGAGGAAACTTAAGTATATTTGAGGTTGGGGACTTAGTGTTGCTAGACACGAGGAACCTACCTCTAGACACTGTCAGATCTGTCTGCAGCAACAAGCTGAAGCACCGTTTCATCGGACCATTTGCAGTCCTGGCCAGACATGGTGCAGTCGTACACCATCGACCTGCCAAAGTCAATGACGACGCACCCGACGTTCTATGTTGGACGTCTTAAGCGGTACTTTGACCCGCAGGGGGTTGCTGACTCGCAGACCCCCCCTTGACCCAGCTCCTCGAAGCGAGGGCCGGTCACAGTCGTCGACGAGGGCGTCGGAGCAGGCACCCAAGCCTCGGTCGGGACGGCAAGGCTGCGGTCAAGACCGTACGCCGGAAGGGCTCCATACGAACGGACCCCGGCGCCATACGCCGAGTACGCTGAGTACGCCGGGTACGCACCATACGCGTACGTCTGGGAGTGTGCCGCAGGCGGCTCCGGATGTGGCAACAAAGCCTCGATCCGTCGGATCATGCGAAAGGCCTCGTCCAGATCGGACGAAGAGGCCCGACGATCCACCCGCAGGTGCAGGCTCGCGACCTCTCGCTCCAACAGGTCCAGGCGACCCGCAAGGCGAGCGAGCTCGCCCTGATTCCCGGCTTGGGCGGCAGCATCACCGCCAGTCCCAAGGCCAAGTGCAATCTCAAGCACGAGGACACGTTGACGGAGGCGGTCAACCTCAGGGCCCTGTGTCGGACCCGCTGTCGGAGCACTCGGACGAAAGTGGCTTTCGGGAGGCGCCGAGTACTCGAACTCGTACGAGGGCACCTCCGCCCCTTCTGGACCGGAATGGTGAAGTCCACTTCCACGTGGAGCGGATCCTCCAGGACCAACGGCGTCGCGGTAAGCGACAGCTCCTCGTGAAGTGGAGGGGTTAAGCCCACTCCGAGAACTCGTGGGAGCCGATTGAACGGCTCCTAATTGACAGCCCGAAGGCTGTCGCAATCTGGGAACAGAAGCGGTAACAGCTTCATAAGTAGTCCGGGGCTTCTTGCCCGAACGGGGTACGGACGATGAATACATTCCGTACCCGCGCTCATCATGAGCGCTAGAAGCCGCACGCTTCAGGATGTCCCTTGGCAGCATGCGCTTGCTGATCAAGTGGGCAAACCTCACACGAAGATTACGCTGGTCCAGGATGCGGGACAGCAGCTGATCTTCATGGAGTTCCCGTAACTCCGTTGGTAAGTACTTACGAGACTCCACCCATGCCCAGAACATGTCCTCACAAGAACTCCACGTGGGACAGTTCTCGGGCATAGCCCAGGGGTATCCCCAGAGAGGATAGAGACCACCCCGGGTCTCGGGCTTCTTACGACAAGTCGTGAAGTCCTTGAGAGGGATGCGGTGTGGCGCGAGAAGCACACACCGAGCAGCCTCCAAGTTGTCGACGAACAACTGTTCTTTCTGAACAAGGGCTCGTTCATAGATGCCCCTAGAAGTTTGGCCGCCCACAAGGCCACGAGGAGCGACGAGAAGCTCTAAGAAGAGGTCAGCCCCAGAGCTCTCCTCGGGAGGCCAATACCCTCTTGAGTTGATGGCAGCTCCCTGGCTGACGGGTGCCACCACCGAACCCCCACGCACACGCTGGGCAGCTTGGAACTTCTCCTGCTGCTGGTCGAGGTCATTCAAGACCTCCCGGGGCTCAGCAATAGCACCCTCCTCCTCTTCTTCCTCCTTCTCCTCCTCTTCATCCGAGAAGTCGAAGATACTCTGATAGGAGTGTTGAGTCTCCTTCTCCTCGCAGAGTGGAGACTTAGAGGCTGTACGCTTCTTTGAGGGCTTGGCGCCCTCGGCTTTAGAGGCCTTAGCACGCGCAAGACCCTCGGCAAGCGAGAGACGTTTGCGAGGATTCTCTTCCTCATCGCCACCGGCTTTGGGAGTGCCCTTAGCCTTGACGGCCGGATTCTCAGAGCGCACAGACGTTCTGGGACTGTGATCACCTTGATCACTAGCGAGCGACTGCACGCTGTCATCCTTGTGCTCACTGGGCACTGGGCTGTGCCCTTCTGCAGAGCCCGCAGGAGCATCGTGCGTGCTCTCGGACTCGGCTTCGTCTTCACTGCCAGAGTTGAACTCACGTTCCACGAACCGAGGGCTCGGACGATTGTCTGAGGCCGAGGGCGACGGACTGCGGCGCTTGCTTGCTCGCTTGCCCACAGCCGTGTCAGCCGAGGAACCGATCGCCTCGGAGGCCACCTGAGTAGCCTCCTTGAGTGCCGAGCCTTTGCCGTGAGGCTTAAAGCTCTTGGCTTGCGCCTTACCGGCCGCAGCCTTGGAGCGTGTCTTAGCACCGCTCTTTGCTGTGCCACGAGGCATGGTAACGGTCAAATTGGAGACCTAGACGAAGAGCGCACAGGTTGCTGCTTGAGGCTCTAACTGTGAAGTGAGCCTCCGCCGCGCTCGCGCGGCCAAGTCGATGGTTTTCGACTTTGAGAATGAGAGTTTGTGACGAACACCTCTTCATTCTGATTGGTCGGTAAACCGAACCTAAGTGGGGGGATGTAACGGGGTACGTAACCCTAAGTGTACCCTGGTTACATGAAGTGTGACACTTCACACTTCAGGAGTATGACGTGTCATACTCCGGGTTATTTGGTACAAGGTACCAAGGTCGTTCAAAGCCTACCATTGGTCAAACGACATTGCATTTCTATTGGTAACTTATAGTTTGTATTAGACCCAAGCTTAACCTACCTATAACTGATCCTTACGAACCATTTAGAGTTATCGAGATAAACGGCTTTAAAGATTGACCACTCAAAAACGTAATTAAACGAATTTTTCAGTAGAGGCGTTTTTCCAAACGGACCCATTTTTTGGTGGTGTATCTTTTAAACGAGCACGATGAGCACCAGCACAAAATCTTCCAGCACTTCGGTTGTGGCCAGCGACACTAGTACCAGGACAAACACTGCGCTTCGGCATTATTACAGGAACCTACTGGGCTCTCTTCTACCTGACCCGGACGAAACCGGCGGTGAAGGATCAGATGACAGTGTGTGGGAGCCAATATCAGGCGAATCAAGTGGCGTTTTGAGTGCTGAAGACGTTGAAGGTGCCTTGGAGGACGCCTTACAGGATCATTCAGACGTAGAGTCTGTTGAGGACCTCTCAGTGGAGGGTAGGATCTTTTGGTCTGATGACCAACTTCGGGAGCAAGTTACGAGTTTGATTCAGCAAGATCATTGCACGGAGAAGTGCCTTCAAGGCAAGGCAGCTGATCTTGAAAACTTCCTGTGCTCTTTGGGGCAAATGACTACGCATGAAAAGAAGCAGAGCATCCTGACTTCGCTGGCGATGTTGATGAAGACAGACACCGCAGTACGTGGTCGTGGGAGTGGTGAACGGCAAGTCCTCTCGTTTTATTTACCGCTAATAGGGCGTGTGTGTCGGGATTCATGGTGCGCCGTGTATGGGATCTCCACGGCAACAATCACGCGCTACCGACGACAGATACAGAGAGGTGCTTTCTCCGTCAACACACTTCGGGGCCAGCTCAACATCAACGCCGCTAAGATAGACATCCGTTGGTTGGTGAACTGGTTTCGAATGCTCGCCAAGACTCTGGGAGACGTCGTCCCGGTTAGAGTTCGAACGCAGAAGACGGTTGACGGAGCAGTCCGCAAGCAATTTTCTGACGAGAACTATACGCTGCTCCCTGCCTACTTCACCTGGGACCAACTCTCCAATGAGATGCACAACTACGTGGTGGAGAACGACTTGGAGGTGAGGGAACCTCGACCATCACATTTCCGACAGCTTTTACAGAAACATTGTCCCCTCATTCGAATCCGATCTCCTCGCAGCAACGTGTGCGACTTCTGTTCTATATTGTACGTACGTATGCGCTCTCAGGTCTCTGCCGAACTCACCGAAGAGCTTCGTGTTCACACTGCCGCAGCTAAAGCAATGAGGTTTGTACACAAGAATCATTCTGCTTCACCAAGGATTCTAAGATCATTCTGATTTACTATGAACTTTTATATAGGTTAGAGTACCAGAAAGACTTGCAAGCAGTTTCCGATGAACATGCTGTGATCGTGATGGACTTCAGTCAAAACTTGACACTGCCAAGTGTGACTTCTACGCCTTCTCAATGGTATTTCCTGTCTTTGATCAACGTAAACGTGTTTGGCATCTATTATGCCAACAAAGGCATTCAATAAAATTACGTCTACGACGAGTCGGTGGCGGGTAAAGGCAGTGACGAGGTGAACAGTATGCTGTATCTCTTTATTCACCGAATTGTGCTTGGCAATGGACACCGAAACCTTACAATTTACGCCGACAACTGTGGAGGCCAGAACAAGAACAACTTCGTCATCAAGATGCTGCTAGCACTAACTCAAATTGGTAATCTGGAGACTATTGATTTCAAATTCTTTGTAAAAGGACACACCAAAAATGCTGTCGATCGCGGCTTCGGGCACATGAGAAAGAAATTTGCGAAGGAGGATGTTTGGACTACGGATCAGTTGTTGGAAGTGATCAATGCGTCTTCCGTAAGCGCAGCTATCGTCCATGTTCGCAAGGAAAACTCGATGATGAAGGCGTTTCGTACGGTGGTCTTAGAAGCTTACAAAAATCTCGGAAACGTGCAGCGGTATCAGCTTTTTGCGATGCGTACAGCCAGCTCTGGAGTTGTGACGTGTCGTGTAGGACCGGGTGATGTGGGTGTTGATGAAGACCTACGAAGAACGTTTGATGGGATAAAGACCGATGATACGAAGGTGCGCAACCTTCTGAACAACTATCTTGAGCTCCTACAGCCTCCAGCCCCCAATTTTGAAAAGAAGCAGCAAATGCACAACAAAAAGAAGCCGTACGTGCCCGTCGAGTACGCATCAGACCCAATATACGCAGCTCCAACCGACGAAGAGGAACGACTCGCAAACGAAGCTAAGCAGTCGCGTCGTAAAGCAAGCACGCAGAAGAAGAAGAAAAGCGCTAGCTGTCTGGAAGGCCAAGCAACGACGAACCCCGTCAGCATGGATGTAGCTACGGACAGCACAGCCCAGCCTAAAACCTGCAAACACACGCAGGCGTGCCAGGAAAGAAACGTAGGCCCACAAAGGCACTAAATGTTAGCAGCAAAATGATATGATCCTTCTAGCCCGTACCCATTTGTTTTTAAAATAGGCTGTAAGTACCCAAAACAACTCCCCTCAAATTTGGGCCCCAACTGGTAAAGACCTTCATTTGAAGCCGAAGGAAGTCGAATTAGGACGCGGGAATAGGCTCAAACGATGCGGATACGTTAACTACACAAGAAGAGTAAAAACGTTTTTTTCTTATGTTTGTCTTTCTGGGAGGCAATTTTGTTTGGTGGACTCGAGCTCCTTCACTTTTTAGCTTTTTAGAAGTCTGAAGGCATCATTTGAAAGAGGAGATCCTCCTCGTTCGAATGGTGTGCCTAAAACGCGAATCGTACTTAGGTTTGTAAGCGTCATTTCGTTTCGCGCCGTCTCAAATATACTCAGTTTACAATCTACCTTATTTAGATCACTTCGCTCTCTTTAAATAAAGAGGGGACCTGTGAACTGCCGTTCACTGAGAGTTTGTGTACTCTCGGAAGATAACTTCCTCTAGCGCAAGGTGCTGTGTGACCCCGTCACACTCTGCGTCCGGGCCGTTGCCCATTGGACTCACACCGGTAGAACTGGCACTTGTGCATGCATATTAAGAAAGGAAGTAAATGTATTTGAGGAGCTAGCCTTCCGCTAGGAGCTGGATTTACACGCACACGACACTGTGAACTATTATAGCGGAAGGCTAGCTCCTCAAATACATTTACAGTCGTGCACCTCCAATTCGACAGGGCGGACCATATCAACAGTGCCAGGGCATAAGTGCACAACGTAAAGCAAAAACCAAACGCAAACCCAGTGCACTGATATTTTATTTGTTAATTCAGTACAAAAATTACGCCAATCTTCTGCATAAATTTGGCGTCAGACGCGCGAATCGCGGGCGCGCAACAGCGCTTCCGGTCGCGATAGGCGTCCAGCAATGCGGCAACTTCCGCGGACCGCTTAAGAATACTCTGGACGGTAGTGCGCTTTACTGCTCGGGGGGTCTTAAAGCGCTCCGTTGCCCAACGAGCAAGTTCGGAGTGAGAGCATGCAGGATCTGACTTGTGCTTCTCGCACAAAGACTGCTTTTGTGGGACATGTAGGAGGAAGGGCGATGTCCCATTGTCTTTGGCGGTAAAAATCAAATTGTGTGTTTGTATGAAGACGTCCGATCCAAAATTTAAAATCAGATCGATGCCGCTTGTCATCCCTCGGCGAGGAGGGGAAAATTGTTGAGGTTAACTGCTAGGGTGGTGATGGGCAAAGGTAATTGCGCATCCGATTCGCGTAATCATAAAATCTGGCAGGGTATCGACTGATACCGGTGTCGAATTGGATCTGCGTGCCAGTTCTACAAAATCAGCAAGTTATTTCACAATAATGACATCGCCAGTGAGAATTTTACGTCAGCCCTCAAAAGTTAGAGTCTGCTTACTACGAAGGGTTAAAAAAAGTCGATCAATGGCCTCCTCCACTTGTAGTTGTAGGTGCTTTATCGATGACGAACAAGGTCATAGGGTCAGCTGCAGAACAGTAAGCAAGGCGGCGTGAATCATCGTCACCATGCTCTTGTAATTTTCCTGGTACCAGCAGCACGGACGGAGTTGTCAGATCACGGAACTGACGATGCAGGGGTCTCGAGTTCTCCAGCAACGGAAGCAGGTGGTTGCGAAACTCATCAAAGCCATAGTTCTGCCAGAACCAGCATCATATTCAGCATCAGCCATGCAGTGTTACCCCCCCCCCCCACACACACACACAGACTTAAGCTTACCAAGAAATCCACCGTGAACTTCCCAATCCCTACCAGCCCTCCACCTGGAACACGATTCACGTGTCCCTTCCAGCTCTTTGCCCCTTCACCAGTACGTCAGTATTAAGACCCATTCGACAAAAAACCGAGGCATTAAAGTCACATTCGGCTCGTACCGAATATGCTTACGTCGAAAGTCCAGTCGCGGATGCCATAGAACGGCAGTGAAAAGGACTGATACGCACTGTTCTCTCGAGCCGCATCCGACACGAATACGAGGCGGTACTGCGATACGTAGCAGCGCCCTTCGCCGCCGTAGAAGCAGCCACCTTGTCCCGGATACCCACTTGCAGCAACACGTTTCCTTAAGTTAAAGCAACGAGAGCCATACCTATCTGCACGTACTTGCCGCTCTCGACCGCGAGCTCCACGTGGCGAATCAGAAAGAAGAAGTTTTCAACCGGAGACACGAGATAAGGCACCACTCCCCCGTGAAGCTGCACATTGATACTCATCGACAACGAGAAAAGGTGCGAACTTAAGAAAGCTAAGTTCGCATCCTCTTTTTGGCGCCAAAATACGTACGAAGATGCCTTTGCTCTCGTTCGAAGGTGTAGAGGTGGATCTCCCCGCGAATCTGGCAGGAATTCAGTTTGAGTTCACAGCAGGATCGCTCACGATCCACTGCTGCAACTTCACGGGGGACGTCGTGCTGTCCAAGCGTACGTACGAGAAACGTCACACGACCGCGAACATATTTCCAAGGCCTAACTTTTTTTTTGTGGACAGGAAACGGACAAGACTTGAGTAGCAAGGGCTCGAGTCCCAGCAAGAAGCGTACGATCGACCTCAGTGCCAGTGACGACGATGACGACGAAGCAGACGCCAAGCGACAGCGACCTAATTTCCTCAATGAGACCGAGCAGACCTTACTCCTCGGTCTTCAGAGTGTCAGCAATCAGGAGGAACCCAAGGCAAAAGGGCAAAAGACAGAGGTAGAAGAAGTACAGGCAGAACCTGATGCGGAGGAGGAGAAGAAAACTGCGACGGATCAGGCAACGGACTCGGCGGACGCGTTGGAATCGACGACGACAGGGGAAACAGACAAGAAAACGCCACCCAAGAAGAGCAAGAAGAGGGCCAACAACGTCAAGGAAAAAGTGAATGTCTTCTTCTCGCCCGAGCCAAAGCAGCCGACGTCGCGTAAGCCAACACCTGATTCCAACAAGAAGCGGAATAAAACACCCAAGTCCTCGCCGGGTAAATCCATTAAAGACCTCATGGGCGGCCCCCCGAAGCCCAAGCCAGCAGGTACATGTACAAAAGATGTGAGTGTGGGTTTTCCGTCCATCGTTCTAACGAGTTTATAATTTGCTCCACCAGCTGCAGCGAAGTGGGAAATGGTGGAAGCCCTGGGTAATGCCCCTCCTGAACGCTGGGGTCATACCGCTACGAAGATCTCAGAGGAGCGCGTGGTGGTATACGGTGGCACTGACGACGACGAGCGCACACTGGGAGACTTGCACGTGTTTGACATGAAGACGCACCGATGGTCGACTCCGCTCAACTGCGAAACGATCACGCGCACGTGGCACGACGCTGTGTATCTGCCCTCCAAGAACTTAGTTCTTGTGTTTGGGGGCGAGCGCAATGCGGCAGCTGAAGGAGAGATCGACATCTTGTCCGACATCATGGTGCTAGACACGGAATGTTTGCTGTGGTACCCGCCGGCTATTCGAGGATCGCCACCCTCTGCGAGAAGCGGCCACACGTGCACTGCTGTTGGGAATGAAGTGGTGGTGTTTGGTGGTAGCGGAGGACGAAACAGACAGAGCTCAGTGCACATCTTGGACTGCGGTAAGCTAGGAGAAATCACGTCTGCCAAGTAAGAAGACTAAGCATGTGCGTTATATCTATTTGACTACAGACGACTGGAACTGGAAGGCTGCGAAAGTGGAAGGGAAACCGCCTAGTGCGCGCACATACCACAGCGCAGTCGCTGTAGGCGAGGATAAAATTGTCTACTTTGGAGGCAACGGTGCTTCCAAGAGTTTCAACGCCGTGCACGTTTTGCAAAAGATGGAGAAGAAAGCGAGTGCTGCTGTGTGGACGTGGTTCCATCCCTGTGTTGTTGGTGTTCCTCCGCAAGAACGCACTGGGCACTCTGCGACGCTTTTGAATGACGGCAAGATCCTCATTTTCGGTGGTTGGGACCCGCAGCGCGATGACGCAACTGCAGCTACGAGTGTGTTTAGCGATGTATTCCTGTTGGACACGAACACTTGGGAGTGGCAACCTGTTACTTACGCAGACGAAGGAAGCGCTGACACTGCGCTGCGAGGACGCGTGGGACACGGAGCTGCGCTGGATTGCATCGGAAATGTGCACCTTTTCGGCGGCCAAAATGGCGCCGAACAGAGACTCAAAGACATTTGCACGCTCACAGTTTCGCGGAGACAAGAGGACAAGCCAACGGACTCGACCACCAGCAGTCTAGAGAACGTCTAGAACGAGCCAATACGGTGGTATTGAGCAGCAAAATATTGTAAAAAAAAATGTTGTGGCTTTTGATTCATTTTCTGTTTTTGAAACGGGCAATTGACGTAGCTTCACTATTGAAGGAGAAAACCAGAAGAGCGACAGCGTTGCCATTTTATTCCATGATGTCGTCGAGTTCGAGGGCGACGCTGTCAAGGAAGCTGTTCATATTTTCGTCGTCCATGGGAACACTGGAATCAGGAGCAGAACTTGACGCCGACGCGGCTTGGAGGACTAAATCATCTCGTTCGAGTTTTTCTTCCTTTTGGAGAATTGAGGAGTCGACATCTTTGTCGTCGGACTTTGCAGGAAGAATAACCCCAGGTGCGGTGGAGTGAGTTGGAGTCGGCAGGTGAGACGGGAAAGGGAAGACAGGGGTGAGGGAGGCCCCACCACTAGCAGGACTGGTTAAATGTTGCAAATTGCGGCTAGAAGCTGAGAAAATATTGACTGGAGGAGGGTGGAAGAGCGAGTTCAAGGGGGGAGGCACGAACGTCGGTGGTGGCGCCAACGGCATCGAGTCGCCCTTACCAACTTCCGTGGATACGTCGTGTTCTTGCGGTTGAAAACTCTGCTCACTCCCCATTGCCACAGCAGGACGAAAAACAGGACCACTGGATAATAGCGCGGTAGTTGGAGGTGTGTAGTGCGGCATGAAGTTTTGCCGTCCAAGTGGTGGGATCATATTGTGCGGGTGATGTTCCATCAGTGCGTCTGTCGAGGGTAGCGGCGATACTTTCCCGTATGGTATCGTACTGACGTTGTAGACATTGCCCTCTTGGTGAGCTGAAGAGGACTGCAACAACGTCTGTTGCTGTTGAAGCTGTGCATGCGAAGACACCTGAATGGGGTTCGGAGCTGGAGGTGTTGACTGCGCTGCTGTGGTGGCCGCTGACTTGTTGGCTTGATTCATAAGCCACTTGCGCCGTGCGGCTGAATTGAAACGATTCTTGACGGCATTTTCAGTGCGTCCAGGGAGCAGCTTGGCGATTTCACTCCATTTATTTCCTAACTTCTGTTGCCATCGAAAGACCATATCATCTTCCTCAGGAGTCCACTGACCTTTTCGAATCCGCGAGTCGAGATGATTGCACCAACGTTCGCGACATTGTTTGCCAATCCGTCCTGGTAAATGCAGTGCGAGGTCACACCAGCGAATCTTACCGACTCCATAGCGTGTAATGAGGCTGGTCAGGATACGATCTTCTTCAGGTGTCCAAGGTCCCTTGATCAAACCAGGTTTTAGCACCTTGTTCCAGCGATGAAGACACTGGACATCGGTGCGCCCATTACCCAGCGTCTCGGCGATCATTTTCCAATTCTTGCCACCAAATCGAGCCACAGCTACACGAAGACGTTCGTCTTCATCGCGAAGCCATTTGGTGGGCGTTTGAACCCCGCTAGTTCCTTTACTTTGTGGCGTCTTAGCCAGCGACACACGTGAAGGACTCTGATGCTGTTGCTCTCGGGAAAAAAACCCTGGTTCTTTGTGGGTTTGAATGAGATGAGGCCGAATATCTTGCGAGTGCCCGAACATTGAGACGTGGTGTACTTCCTGGTTACTCCGGGGAAAAATGGCAGTGCGATTGAGTCCGAACGAGCCATGCGAAGGTGGCGTGAATGGCTGATGGGATAACCCTGTAAGCTCTGGCAGTCTGGGCGAATGTTGCTGATGGTGAGGATTCTGATGCATCGCACCGCGAATATCCGCTTCAAGCTCGTTGAATGACATCTTGAGCTCTGTATCGGCGTCTGTTAATGCAGTGGCATGGCCTGCGACAAGGTGTTCCCTGTTATTGCTGCTGTCGTCACTAAGACTGTCATCCAAATCATCGTTACTTGACACAGAAGTACCATGCAGCTTGAACCCACCGGGGCCAAACGCCTGGACGAGAAACTCTTCGCGTGGAGAGCACTCACTACCCGACGTGCGATGAGACTGGGGGAGGAAAATACTGTGATCAAGACGCTTTCCAGTGAGCGCATCATGGTCTAGTTTCAGTCTGTGCTCGAAAGCATCCTGCGATGTCAAGGTTGACGTGGAGAAGTGGCCACTGCTTTTATACTCGTGATCGTCACCGGAGCTGGAGCTGAAGTCATTATCGAACTCGTGGTCATCCTGATAATCGTTGTCCTGGCCATCTGAATGCTGACGATCAATGGATTGCGCCTGGTTGGGGGAAGACTGCGTGTATCTGGACTCGAAAGACGAGGATGCCGATGAAACCAGTTGGAAGCCTCCACTCGAGCTACTTTCTGTAGGGCAATGGAAATAACAGGTAAACAAAGAGAGCAGAAAAAGTGGGAAAATATAGAAGACGCGTACTCTCGCCATAGGTGGAAAGCTCAGGACGACGCAATGCGCCAGGGTAGGACGCAGGAGGTGGTGGATAATCGTGACGAGACGGAGATGTAGGCGTCCCAAAGTTAGCCGCAGCGAAGTTGTTGTCGCTGTTTAAGCTGTGGTGGCGTTTACGGTTCGGAGGAGCGCGCGTAGTATCTGAATTATGAAGCAGCTCTTCCAGATCGTCAAGACCTGCGCAGGACAAGCTCCTCTTTGGGGATGGTCTAGAAAAATTTACCGTAAGTCTCTGTCGCATTATTATTGTTTCGAGAATACTTACTTGCTGAGTGTGGAGCGTGGATGCATTGCGGGGGGAATCGAAAGCTACTAACAAGACGACGCAGTGCCTCCAGCCATATCCTTGGCACCCGTCGGCGCTCCGCTCGCTTTTTATTTCTCTGTGGCAACTGGAGGTGATCAAACTCTCGTGCTCTCGTCGCTTGCGAATGCGCTTTGGACCTTGAAAAGAGGCTGTTGTCGCTTTTTCTCCATCGTCGCACAACTCCCAAAACAAACGAAGCATAAAGCAAAGGTTCGTACAAAAATAGTGGCGAAACAGCGGGGCTCTTCAATTCGGATTTCTCCGCCAAGGGAGCCAATCGCACTGCTACAAAGGACCAGATTCCAGAAAATCTGCCCGACAAGACGCAAAATGCTGTGGTCAGCAGGATTTGAGCGAGTCGAATGGCCAATGACCATGTCTCGCCATGCAGTACTGTGCTCGTATTGTCATACCAAAGATCTACGAGGTCACCTGGTGAGCAACCCACAAAGCAAGCACCTTCAACCTGTGTACCATACAGCCACTGCAGGCTTCATTCGAGCGATTGCACCTTTATTTTTTTTCAATTTTGTTGCTGGATTTCTTGCGTCCTCCGTGATACCTGTTTCGTCCGTCTAGGCCTATTCCCCGCCAGCTATTCACATGCCCTCCACACTTTTTGTGCTTTATTCGCTGGGGATACCAACAGATCGCAGTTTCTCTTCGAGGGTACGGAACTCCTTGTCATTCACAGCGTTGAGCTCTTCGTCGACCCACTCTTCAATGCCGCGCACCTCGGGAATGTAATGCTTCAGCATGTTCTCCACGCCGTGCTTGAGCGTCACAGAAGAGCTCGGACAGCCTGCACACGAGCCTGCAAGCTGGACAGAGACCGTGCCCGTCTTCTCATCGAAACCTTTGTAGAAAATGTCGCCACCATCGTCCTGCACCGAAGGACGGATACGCTGCTCCAGCAGCTCCTTGATCATGGCCACCACTTCGTCATCATCCGGCAGAATCGTCGTGTCCTGCAAGCAGCACGTCACATGTCAGCTTCTACAACGTTCTTAGCAACATGCTCCGAACCAGCTCACCGTGACGATCGGTTCATCCGACATGACTTGCTCGTCAGAGGCAAAGAAGTCCATGATCGTTGCGAAGATTTCAGCGTTTAGTGCCTATCATCAGCATCAGCAGCAAATATTTTAGTGGCACAATTCAACCAACACTAAGTCAACTAAACACGTACATCCCAGTCCTCCTCCTCCGTCTTTGTGACTGAAATAAAGTCCTTGCCGAAGAACACGCGCGTCACGCCCTCAATCTGGAACAGTTTCTTGGCCAGCGGCGAGCGACGCACCTCCTCCGAGGAAGGCGTAAAGTCCTAGCAAGATACCAGAGACTCGTAAGCCATCGTACAATACCGTCTTCATCGTCTACAATAGCGTACCACGCCCGTTGTGAAGCGTTCATCCAGCACCGAGCGCCCGGGCAGGAATTTGACGCTCAGCGGATTGGGCGTCGGCTCCGTCTGGATAAACATGGAGCGCAGCGCTCCACTGCGAGCCAGGAACGGCGACATGACGCGCGGCTGCAGAGATACCGACGCGTGACCGGCTACAGGATGCGCGTGCACGAAGCGAGCGGCCGAGGAAGCGGCGCTGCGGCGAGCCAGAGAGCGCAGAAGCTGACGGGTGCGAGGAAACATGAGGGGCTCCTTGAGTGTCGATTACGAAATAAAATTGACCATTTATTGGGTGTATTGTTTTTGCCAATCATCCACCACCAAAAAAATGGAGACAACTTGTTGCCTTTTTGCGAATTCTATCGTCTACATGGTATTAAACACGGTTGCCGTGTTCGTCCCAGAGCGGAATATTGAGCACGTTGGGCCAGACGAAGTAGTCGTGGAGCAGGTCGTACAGGAAGGTGTGGAGCCTGATGGTAAGAGCAGCGATTCGTCATGTTAGAATCATCACGGGGTGAAGACAAGAGCGAGGTTAAATGGACGCACCATTCGGAGACGAACGGGACGTTGGCAATGTTGATTTTTGCAGCGGTGAGAGAAAAGTCGAACAATGGCCGCCTGCAAACATGAAAAAGAGGTAAATATGAGTGAAGTACAGTATTTGGATCGAAATGTCGGCCGAGCTTACTCTGTGAAGCACAAGCTGATCCCGCCAAAACACGGCCAGAATTCTGCCATGGGGTTTAGTGTGATCCGCAGGGTGCCGACAAGGAGAAGTTCGCGCAGAGACAAGCAGACCGCAGCTCCCAGATGTGACACCATTTTGAGATCTGCGGCGAAAGTTTTCTTGTCCGTAAGAATGCGAACCTCCACGTCCAGCGTCACTTCATCCGTCAGCGTATTGGCGGAAATGTACTTGACACTGGCAATTTGTGGTGTCTGAAATCCTAGATTTAGCCGGATGAGCGAGAGTGAGCTCATAAAGGCTGGTTTCTGAGCATCTAGCGCTGGGTTCACACTCCCAAGAACCGAATTCTAAACAAGAATACAAGTGTTAGACATGGGACCGACAACGAATCAAAGTGAGGTTACACCTACTTCGATAGCTTTCTTGAGGTAAGGCCAACCACTACAAGACAAATAACAGCATAATTGAGTAAGTGGGGCCATTCGTTTTGCCAGTACTCATGCATGCAAAGGCTGCATACGTGACAAACACTTTGTTCAGCCACTCCACTCGATCTACATCTGGATATCTCATCCAGTTTGGGAGCTGTATACCAAGTCAAAAGGGTGAACTTCATGACCGATAAAGCAGCACTAACCTCAACATGAGTAATGTCCGCATTTGTCTGGTTTGTTCGGGCACCTCGGAATTGAAAGCCAGCTTTTCGTTCCAGGAGGTACCGCCGACGTGTCTTGAACCTAGCATATCCCCATAGGTAGAGGAGAACGCCAGCAGCCCCGATACCAACTAGCACATGAGAGCTGCTGGCTAGAAACACTGTAACACAAGAAAGTGTCCAGGTTGAAAAACTCTGGCGTTGCTTGTAGAAATGTGCAAGGGAACCCGCCAGCGCTAGAGGAAGGAAGACAGATGCGTTTGAGACTCCGGCGACAATAGTCACCGTCAACATAACTGTAAGCACGCGAAGCGTAACAGGATCTGCATCACCCACCAGCCCAGTAGAAGTGTCTAGTTGGTTTGTTGCTACTGGCAAAAGATCGCTGATGTCTGGCTTTGCAGTAGCAGGTTGTAGAGGTGTCACTTCAGCCAAATTTCCAGTACACGTTGCAGTAGAAATAACTGTGGCAGTGTCCATTTTGCCAAGTGCTGCTGTCGGGGTCTTCGCGCGAATCGAACGAGAGAGAAACGAGGATACCGGCTCTACATTTTGGCTAGGAGCTGCCTCCAACGAGACATCTGTAGCTGCTTTGGAAGATCTCTTGCCCTTAAAGCTCAGCCTTGGAGATGCACCAGTCTCTATTAAAGAGACTGAAGAATCCGTTGCTGTGCTGCTCATTGGACTTCGCGTTTGATGCTGCTTATCGTTTGAGAACAAAATGGATCCCCAGCGATTCGGGTGTCGCTCTGTACTCACGCTGGATGAGCGATTTAGCGTTGATGTTCGACCGACTGTACCGATTCGATTTGAAGATCCGATCGCAAGACGTTGGGTAAGTTTCTCTCGAGCTGACGCAAACGCCGAGGTTGTTGGACTTGTGACAGAGCTACAGGGAGTAATATTCGATACACACACGGAATCTTCGTCAGACACAGCAACGGAAGGGATAGTAGCGCCCGATTTTGATCGCGAATCATCAATGTCACTGAAGCTCCAAACAGGCTCAATCGACGACGACGCCGTTGAGGGACTTCGGAATAACTCGCTGTCCAAGGTGGTAGCTTGTTTGATAGCTCCGTGTATACACTTCACCCATAGAAGCATTCGAGCTTGATTCTCCTCGAAAAAAATGAAACCTTGGGGCTGCAAGCGGACAGTGTTTTTCTTCTTCCACGTTCTGACTTCCACGCAGAAGCACTTTTCCATCACAATATTGGCGTTATCCGACTCGAAACTTAGCACCGCATCTGCCAAAGACAGCAAGTACATGAGCTCCGAGCGAGATTCATTACTGTGAACACACCAAGCAAGATAGTGGTTAGCAACCATAAACTAAACCCCAAACTGTCGACGCACTTGTATATTTCCAGAGCGTGCTTCATAGTGTTTGCCACAACATAGTGCGTCGATTTGGACATGAGAAAGCGTTGACGCTGCTTCTTCTTTTGATGCACAACCATGAACCCTTCAATAGATTCGGAGTCGAGCGACGAAGTGTTCGTGGCCGTTGTGGGGATCCTCACTGACCTCTCAGTATTCTCCTCGCCTGCATCCGTAGCAGCTTCGGTACTGTCTAGAACCTGCGACTCGGAGCATGTGGACATCTCCGCCGTGGACACAGAGAGCGCCATTTTGGACTCGACGTAATAAAACTGTGGCGGCCTCACGGGGTTGGCCACTTTTATTATTGGCGGCTGTTGTTGACGTTGAAGTGAGTTTGTGAGTTTTGTGTGATTGAACGTAACATCGTGTGGATCTACACAACCATATGGCTCCAGTAGCTCCCCCTCGAAGAAGGCGACGAGATACCAGGGTTCTGGAAAACCCCAAAACCTTGAAATATCAGGGGTATTTATTAAATAGCATGGGTGGGTGTTATAATTGGATTTTTAGCACCTATCCCTTCACCAATTCTTTTAATTGGATGCAATTACTCCATGAATTGGGCGAGATGGGCAAGCCAATCATACGCAGCAGTAATTTTCGATACTCTCATTCTCCAAAACTCTCCCCTCTCCTCAAGACCTCTGAAGCCTAGCCTACGCAGCATGTCGCTACGGACCGGCGCGATTCCAGCTAGCTCGGGGAACCTCCTGTCGTCATAGAGCAGAGGGATCTGACTGTTCGCCCCGGTCGGAAAGCAGACGCAGCCTGGAGCCATGTGGATGTGCAACCAGAGCGACGATTTTGTATATTGCTAAATCTATTAATAGAATGTAGCTACTGAAATATTTGTTTTCTAAATCCTTACAAACTTCTAATATATGAAATTACCAAAGTTGACACTCTTAATTCACAAACTTCACAGTAGTGATTTTGCTCTGCACAGCAGGGTGGGATGTGCAGGTCTATCGATGCAAACAGTGTTTGCGGATTGACCATTGCAGAATGCCGTGGCTTTACGCCCCCTATACCATACTAAGCGCCCAATCAACGACTGCAGTGCACTGTACAAAAGTACGTCGGGGTTTTGATGCGATCGTTCACAGTTCTTCGGCCTGTGCTGAAGCAAGGAAATTTAAGAGTGATACCTGATTGGACCTCGACCAAGTTCTGGAGCTCGAGGCGATATGCTATTTGATGGATGGACTAGAGATTGATAAATCTGGATTGATAGAGGAGAGGGATAGTGGGCGGGTGAATGACTGATGGGTGGACTAGAACATGATGGGTGGATGGTTTTTTTAATAATCCTCAATAAACCCTTCCTGCAAACTCTCGGGGTGGGTGGGTGGTATAAACGGTTTTTTCCCGACCAATTTATCCCCAGTCCAGAACCCTGCGAGATACCAAACCACGTAAGCGGCGCTGCCGACGCTGCTCCTCTCTCCGGTTCACTCTTCGCATTGGATATCATGGACGAAACAGCGCAGCGCAGTCTTCTATTATGGGTACGTCCCATTCTGCATCGACTCCATCTTCCAACTACTAGCGGCCAGTGGATCAACTCCAAATTTAAATGTTTAAATCGTTTACTTGCTAGCTCTCGAATACCCTTTATCATATAGTGCTAATGTATGAAATTGTTATTGCTCGATTGCTATCGTACAGGTGCAGAGCTTCCACGAGAAGTTGGCGACGGACGTGCAGGTCTCGAGCATGGAGGATCTGTGCGACGGTGTCTTCCTCTCCAAGATCATGCACCACATGTGCGTCCTGTACCTGCACATAATCTTTTAGCAGACAAACGGACTGATTTACTTTATCCTTTCCATTTGCTAGCGACGCCGAGTACGTTAACTTGGAGCAGATCAATGAGCAGCCAGGAGGCAACTGGGCGCTCAAGTCCAACAACCTTAAGACGCTGCTCCGTGCTGTTGAGTTATTTTACACGGACGAACTGGGTCAGATCTGCCACGCTGACGAGTTAGTGGACCCTCTACTGATCGCCAAGGAGAACGACGTGCACGAGGTCTCGAAGCTAACAGAATTGCTGCTTGGCTGTGCTGTCCAATGTCCAAACAAGTCTGAGTACATCCACCCCATTATGCAGATGGGAGCATCCGAACAGGCCAGTTTAATGCACGCGATCGAGAATCTCATGCACCGTTTCCAGCCACTGTCTCCAGGTGGAGTATCAAACGCTAGTCGCCGTAACTCGATAGCTCACGGTGCGTCCTTCGACGAGATAGCGTCTCCTTCATCGTCAGCGTCTGTATCTGCTATGGCTTCGGGTGGCTCTGCTGAAGCACTGGCTGCTCAACTGGCCCAGGCCCTGGAGCGAAGTTCGTCTATGGAGCTAAGATATCTGGATATGGAGCGCGAGAAGCGAGAACTAACGGAGCGTTTCGAGCGAACTCTGACGGAGCATCGAGAGCTGGCTGAGAAGTACTCAGCTCTTGAAGGCGAACGCGACCAGCTGCGTAGCGAACGCCAGAACACGCTCACTCGTGACAATAAAAAGATCCAGCAGATTGTGGACAATGAAGTCCATGCTCTTCAGATGCAGATGGAGGAGAAGGATCTGGAGCTGAATCGTGTCAAACGAGAGTCTGGAGAACGCTTGATGATGCTGGAGAACGAAGTGCGTCGCCAGGCTGACGAGCTTGATATCTCTCGCTCCAAGCTGGGGACGTTGAACAAATTGGAAGCGAGCGTGTCCAAGTACAAGAAGAAACTGGAGGAGATGAACTCGTTGCGCGGTCAGGTGCGAGAGCTCGAGACTCTTAACGCTCAGTACTTGGACAAGGTAGTGGACTTGGAGAGCACGATCAAGACGATGCCGGGGTTGAAGAGTCTCGTGGAGAAGTACAAGAACCAGGTTGTGGAACTGGAAACTGCCAATGTCCAGGCGAGTTCCAATCTCAACGTCAAGGAACAGAAGATCCGGAGACTGCAGGAAGAACTGGACAGTGCATTGGGCGGCAAGGAATTCCTCGAGTCTCAAGTGGAAGAGCTGCGCGCACAGTTGTCGAGCATGCAATACCGAGAAAGCACCGACGACGCAATGGCTGCTGGCGAGAGTAGTGCCGTCAACGGAGGTGGCTTGAGTGCCGACATGTTGCTGGGTCGCGACTCTGCTAGCGGCTTGAAAGAGCGCGTGGCTCGACTCGAGCGTGAGAATGCAGAGCTCAAGAGCGGCAATGCTGACGCTGGACAGGCAGAGCTGACGAACGATCTGGATATGGCCATCAAGGCCAAGGAATCGTTGCAAGTCTCTCTCTTCCAGATGCAGAAACAGAACGATCAACTGTCGGAAGATTTGCGCAACACGCGGATCCAGAACGAACAACAGCAACAAATGCTGGCGCAGCTTCAGCAGGCCCAACCTCAGCGGCAGTTCCAGTCCCAGCAGCAGCAGTGGCACAACGCACCGGGTGGACCGGAACCCATGCAGGTTTTCAATGATATGGCAGTCAGAGAGGGAGTCGCAGCAGCTGGAACGGCCGGCTTTGCGTCACCGGCCGCACTCGAGTCCGGCGTTGCGATGGGACCGGGTGGGGCCATGCAGGCTCCTGTGCCTACGCCCGGTGCTGTCGTGGTAACTAGCAGCAACAATGCGCTGTCATCGGCTCAGATTGCCGAATACCAGGACAAGCTGGAGAAACTGGTACGACGGGGTAGTGAAGGCTTGGCGAGGCTTGTTTTACTCACGTATTGGTGTTGATGCTCAGGAAATCGAGGCAGAAGCCGTGGACTCGCTACGTGCCACAGTGACGGAACTGACGAAGCGTCTGAAGGAAAAAGAATCCGTCATCAACGAGCTCTCGGAGCAACGCGCGAAGCTGGAAAACTACACGAAGAAGACGCTGCATGCTGTACAGACCAAGTATATGGTGGCTGTGAGTTCTCATCGTAATCAGATCAACGAGAAGCAAGAGCGCGTGGATTTCTTAGAGAAAAAGATGAAGGAGGTCCGCGGTTCGTACTCTCGCGAACAGGCTCTCATGATGTCGTCCTTCTACGAGGTAACTGAATGCGGCAAGCAGTGTGGTTTACTTGTGTAGCTGGACCCCTCTGACTCGTGCTGCGATGGACAGATTGGAACGGAAATGCAACGTCGTACGATGATGCCCCAAGGTCCAGTGGCAGGAGCTCCAGGCGCTGGGTCATGGCTTGCTAACAAGAGGACAGAAGAACGAGCCAAAAGGCGACAAGGAGCATGAGCGCAACGCGCTCAGTGGTTGGAGTCGTGTCTCCAATTTCACTCATAACAGTCAAAAAGGGGACGCACCGTCGATACTAAAGGAAAACGAGCGAACAAGATGGAGATATATCAACCTTGAAAAATGAAGAGATTTGTGTCGTGTATACTTGTTTTGCCGCACTGCTTCTCGTTGCTCATGAAGTACAAGTTAGTCGACTACGTTGACGCCCAGATTGACGAGGGCGCGTGTCGCTTGCTGGCATATCCGGTCGTTGGTGGAACGCACGAGCGACTGAAGAGCTTCCACTCCTCCCAGCTCCACAATTGCTTGTTTGTTCTCAGCTAGCAGCCACAGACACTTTGATTAGTATTAAGCCTCATACTTACAGTTTGGCTTTCACGTACGATTGACCGATAAGTTGCGTAGTGCGCGAGCCACTTGGGACTGAAGCTCCACGGACTCGGAGTGCGCTCCGTCAATAATTGGCTTCAAGCCGCCTTTACGTGCGATCTCAACCTCGTTGGCATCTGGCACATCATCCAGAGGTGGTATAATACATGTTATTAGAACCTAACTCAAAAGTGCAAAAAAAAACTCTTCCGTTCCTTACCATTGACAGCCAGATTGGCCAGCGCTGCGATGGCCTCGACGGCAACACCGATCTGACGAGAGCTGGCCAGGTCGATGAGCGGTTTAATACCGCCGGCCTTAGCGATTCGCTCCTTGTTGTCCACTATCAAGCACCCGTAAGCAACAACCATAAGCATACTGGATTCGTCAATCCAAACACGACGACTGTACCATTCACGCCGAGGTTGGCAAGTGCCTTTGCAGCCTGCCGCTGCACATGCTCGTTCGTGCTACTCAAAAGATCAATGAGCATGTCGATGCCTCCCTCCGTTGCCATTTTGGACTGGTTCTCGGCTGGAGAGCGAGTTAAAGTTGTGTCATTTCACTGCTCTACCTCCCCGTAAGTAACCCTGCAATTCTTACAGTTGACTGAGAGATTGGCGAGTGCATGGGCTGCTAAGCGCTGCACCTCCGTGTCCTTCGACTTGGTTAGTGGTAGCAGCAGCTGCAGTCCGTCCAGCTCCACAATCTGCACTTGTCGGTCGGCTGTACACGATCCAAGTAGCCTCATTATTGCAGTACTGGACACTATAACAACAGCCACATACGCTTGACGGCCTCATTGGCCAGCTTCTCGGCGACTTCTCGCTGCAGCGCAGTGTCAGCCGAACGCGCGTAGACGATGAGTCGCTGCAGATTCACACGCAGAGCCTCGGTGAAGGCCTCGTCTGGACACACAATTGGTAGCTAGAGTGAGATGCCAGGATTCGAACGCCAGATGTTTGTGCCTCTCACGCACCATCATTCTCATCGAACGTGAACTCATCCTTGCTGCCTTTAGCGCCCTTAGCTCCAGCGTTCCCCATCGCTTCCTGCAGGTGTGGCAAGAGTCGTCACCGGATACAAAAGACGCGTTGGAGCAACACTCGCGTAACAACCACGATATTCAAGTGATAACGTTTGCTTATTGGGCCGAAGCGGTTTCAACCCAATGGATCCGCGGTTACTGGTTAGTTGATCCACAGGAATGGGGTGCCGACGTCCAATTGGGGCTTGGCGTCTTTCACGCTGGTCTGCGAGTGCAGACAGAGCGCTGAAAAAACGCCGCAAGACCGCTGGGACTCTTGGCCCAAGAGTTTTGGCCCAAGACTCTTTGGGCGACGCTGACCGCCGACACTTATGTTTTTGAAGTGTTACAAAGATTTTGCTGTGTCCTGCACTTGCCGCGAGACGTTCAGCATTCCACCCGAAGGCATCTCGGATTGTCGTGTTGGCGTCGTGCTTGAGGAACAAACGCACAATCTTCTTCTCTCCATTTGCAGATGCTCTCATGAGTGGCGTCTTGCCAGAGTCGTCTACTGTATTCACCGACGCCCCGCGCTCCAAGAGCAATCGAGCGATCTCGCTGTGTCCCCACGATGCAGCTAAATGGAGCGTAGTGGCCCCGTAGCCGTTGCGAATGTGCACCGACGCGTTATTCTCGAGCAGGAAGCGCACCTTCTTAAATCGCCATCTCGTGCGGCGAACAGCAGCATTGTGTAGCCATATGCGTCAGTCGCATTGACATCTTCGACCGGAACAAGCTGTCGCTCGGATTCATGCGCCGCCAGCGCCATGGATCCAGTTGTGTTTCCTATCGCTAAGTTTCCCCCGTCGAATGCAACAATGAACCCTGAGGCGGACTCCTCGTCACGTTGAACCCATACGAGACGCAGTAACCCGCTTCGTCACTCGACGACTGGTGGATAGCGACACTTGTAGCGGTGGTGGCTTGTTATTTTATTTTTTAGCCGTTCCTAGCGGCAAAAAATGCCTTCATCGCGCGATTCCCTCAAGTTTTTTTTTACTTATCATTATTATTCATCGTGATGGTTGTTGCCCGCCGATTACGTACCGGTATATCCAAGCTGAAGTTGTTTCACACATGGCTACATGTTAGCACTATGTGATTGATTGTATATTATTCAAAAGAATTCTCTCGAGAACAGTTCGATGAGGCTAAAGTTGGCGCCGCTCGTCGGCGCCTCGGCGGTCGTTAACGCCGCCTTCCCGGCTTTAGCAGCGATGCCACACCTCGTCGAAGAGATCAGCATCTTGCTAGACTATTCCGCGCTGTGGAGCCTCGAAGATGCGAGCTCCATTGGTGATTTACGACTTGTGAAGCGCGTGGCTGCCCATGACCAGCGCCGCTTGACCGTTGTGGATCCCCCGCCGTCATATTTGGCGTGTCGAGCGTCGTTTACTGCTGCTGTAGCTGAAGCGGCGGAGGAAGGGCACATTGCTGTCTTTCAGTGGCTCGTAGCGCACTTCGCAGCTACAACTTGGGACGTGACGGATGCCATCGTTCGCGCATCCAGACACGGTCATCTGAACATATTACAGTGGGCTCAGAGCCATGAGGAGCTTGTGACGTTCCGCTGGACCACCAAGACGATGGTTGTGGCAGCCATCGAAGGGCACTTTGACATTGTACGCTGGCTACATGAACACTCGTCTGCTCCCGGGTCTCCACACGTGATGGACTGCGCTGCAGAGGCTCTCGATCTGCCCATGCTTCAGTGGCTCCATGCAAACAGGACGGAGGGTTGTACTCCTTACGCTATGGACAACGCAGCACGCAAAGGCAGTTTGGAGATCGTGCAGTGGCTACACACCCACCGAACAGAAGGATGTACGACTGGAGCGATGGATGGAGCTGCCATGAACGGCCATCTACAAGTGCTCCAGTGGCTGCACGCGAACCGTCATGAAGGGTGCACAGCTTCAGCGTTACATTGTGCAGCAGTGAACGGACACGCACACGTCGTGCGATGGCTAGATGAGAACATCGCGGTGGGCAATCGACGCCGAGCGCTCGCGTCAGCTGTTCGCTGGGGTCACCTTGACGTGGTCAAGGCATTAGCAAAATATTGCTCTGTCAATGCGAGCGTGGACTCGTCAAGAGAAGTCACAGCTGCCCGTCATCGTGCTGAAGCGGAAATGCGCATCCCAAACACTTCCAGTTTGTTACGAGCGAGACGAGAGCGCATTTTATATTCGCAACGGATTCTGGACGGGCCTGCTGAGGAAAATGCCGTGTGGTATGGCCGTCTAGAAGTGCTGCAGTTCCTCTTCTCGAACGGAATGGTGTCCAAAAACGGTCGCTCGCGAGCGGAACTGGCCGCTACCGCGACAGTACGAGGCCACCCGCATGTTACAAAGTGGCTCCTAGACTTTACAACGTAGAGCTGTATGTTACGTGTGGAAACAATTAGCAGGATAAACTTCGAGTTAAGTTGCATGGAATTGCAACTTCTATTATTTTTAAGAACATGCTCTAATTTAAATACAAGTAAACACGTTACTTTATATTTTAAATTAAAAAATATATGTTAATGTGCGTCCTACTCAAAATTTCCGTGCGCGGTTCTTTAAATAAATCACGCACACAGATGAACCCTTCGGTACTCCTGGAATACCCGCTGACAGGAATATGCCCCCGAAGTCTAGTAGTTGATCAATGTTAGAGGTACCGAGTAGCTCGTACTTAAGCGAATGTTAGGGTTACACTGTGTGAGTGACTCGAGCCACTTCGTGTTAATTGGTCCCGAGATACGTACTAAAGGTACAGTACTACGCGAAAATATATTACGGTAATTTAATTTTAACAGATTAAAAAAATCATCATTTTTAGAGATATCGGTGCTTGCGACGACAGCCAGTCACGCGACTGGTAGCATGAAGTGTTGCTGTAATGTAACTGGAATGCATGAATGTCACCCGAAGGTACGAAGCACTTAGTGAGAATTTGCCTGACGAGTACTGCGAGAGTAGAGCAGACCATGACCAGTATCTTTCACTTTACGCAGCTCAACAGTATCACCGCAGCACGCACACATTGGAATCAACAGACAGAGGCATCACAATGCGAACTACAGGGGTACATTATCTTCATGTTATCGACTTCCTAACTCGCCTACTGCAGGCACTTTAACATGTACCGAAGCCTGAAAAAACGCATTGAGGCATGGCTGAGCTTTTCCGGCATATCGATGCCGGTGAGGTAGCACTCAAAGAATAGTAAAACAGCTGCTCCACAGCTTGAGAAGTCCGGCTGGCGTACATTCGTGACTCTCTGAATCGGCAAGGGTATGGAGCTGTCTTCACCTTCTAAAAACACGTCTTTCAGTAGTTCTTCGCATTTGGCGTAATATTTTGACTTGGGGTCTTGCAAGGGGTCGAACACCAGGACTCCTCGACGTTCGCTGCGATAATCGAAAATTGCTCCACACCAGTGGTTGTTGTCTATGTGTAGCGGCAACAGAATGATCTGGTTCGTTTTCTTGAAAGGCTTGCCTGCATTAATAGCCCTGAGCCGGGCGTCTTTATCGTGGAAACGATTGAAGATCGGGTTAACGATGCCAACATCCGGGTGTTCTCGTTGGAGTAGAGCAATCCCATGCCCCATGCATGAATCATCCATCCACATATTTTCTCGAAGCGTTAGTAGTCCGTTATAGGGCACACTACCGAACGAAGTCTCGCGGCCACCCTTCCGAAGAATCCGCCTGATAATAACTTCCCGTTCTGTCGATCGCTGCTGACTCCGTCATCAGTCTTTACCGGTAGAGACAAGCGCTTGACGCTAGTGTTGACAGCCCAAGTAGTCGCATCTTCAGTGGCAGATAAATACTGATGGAGGCGTGCCATCGGTCCATCGCGACAATGTCCTGGTATTGGAATATCCCAAAGCGAGGAACTCTTACACCAATAGTGTCGTCATCGACAGTTTCTATCAAGCCTTTTCGAAACGCTGCGACCGCAGCCAGGCATTTTTCCACAAATTGTTTTGGAAACACAAATCTGACGTCACGTTTAAGACGAACACCTTCCAGCAAGAAGTATAGATACTTCAGATACTTAACGTACTCATCCGTAGAAACCGCCAGCCGCATCATATCGATAGCATCTTCAACTTGGTCTTTGTCGAAGCTGGACGGGCCTCCATACTTGCTCTTTGCCAGCTCGGTCCGAATATACTTCTTCAAATGGAAGTGACACAGAATCACTTTCACGCCAGGGAACTCCATTTCTAGTAATCCCAATTCACCCATGTCCTTGTCAATCACAATTACCCTGACTTGCTCCCACGAAGAGCTGTTAAACTTGAACGAACCGATAGCATCTGAAAGACACTCTGCACTTTCGTTCTCCATGAGACTGTGGTGTACGTATTGACCCTAGCATTACGTTAACAACTCATAAGTAAGAATTTGTACATATCAAGTACATGTTGTAGCTGAAGCTACGCAAACAGTAAAAGTGTAACTAGAGGCACATAGGATGTAACGTCAGGTACATTTACTTACATGTCCGTACACATCGTTAACCATGAACGAGAAGAGCTTGTAGCGCGATTCGTTGGTGTTATGCGTCGCGTCAATGAGCATCACTTCATGAAAAGCCTTGAACCAGCGTCGCATTTGTCCCGTCTGCAACGCGATGGTCTGTGCAGTTTTGGATTCGTCGACGTAAACGGTAGCTCGGTTTCCTCGACATTCGCAAATCCCTCGCAAGACAGTCTCCAGCCGTTCTTCAGTAGTCGCACCTCCCCTTCGTCTCTCCTTCATCCTCGCCACCATGTTGTGTACATCTCGAAGCACCGCATTTTTTCCTACATGGAGTCCAAAACAAGAAAGCTATCAGTCACTATATATAATTCTGGGTTGAGTTAAGCGCACCCACCTGTCTTCTTTCGCAGGAACTGCATAATTAGCTTCGGCGTAGAACCAGCAGCTTGGAGTTCATCCACGAATGCCAGTATGTCCGGATCCTCCACGCGACGGTTCGACACATGGTTCTCAAATGTAGCGCGAGACAGATTGTGGTTGTGTCTGACGTCAAAGTCAGTGACGCGTACCATGAACGTGTCGTGTTCATCGTTCCACACGACAGCAGCCTTAATGTTTGCCTTACAGCCTGTAGTCTTCTCAAAAAACGACCTTCGTATCCCCTTTCCACGGCTCTTGCGCTTCCACCCGTGAGTGCAGACCAACTTAATCCAGAAATTTCCGAACTCCTCAGGGATCAATCGATCCGACGTCTCATCAGTAACTGTGTTAGTCGTGCCGGAATCATCTGGGTCCTTCGCATTAACACTCAGGTTTGCTCGCGCCTTAATTTCTCGATTTCTCTTTTGAACCGACGTGGACGTGCGCTGTGGAAAGATCTGGTGTGTCTCCTCTTGGTAGCGCTCCATGTATTTGCGGAAGGCATCCCAGCTCTCATGCCACTCGACATCAACTGGAAGACAGAGCCACGAGACCCCAGGAGGGACTTGCCGCTCGGGTTCACTGTCGCTCATTCTGATTGCACACATGAGAACCACAGAATACGCTCTTAGCTTACCTCCCCCCCTCTAATCTACATGAACATGCATGCTTACCTTCAGAGCTGTCGTGTGTCTTCGTCTCGTATTAGAGTTTAGGAGGGGCGCGTGGCTGATGTAGTGCGCGGGAATTTTTTGGAATGAACGGCTCATAGATTTTGGGGATGGGAGAAAGGGGGGAGAGGGGGTGTCTTTTTCAGAAATCTTGTTTTTCAGAACTGAGTTGAAATTTACCTCGGACAGTATTTTATCGTCAAAATTACGAAGGTACTACTGTAATGTTTCGTGTAAGAACTATTTTACTCGGTGCCGCTAACCAGTTCCCTAGTAGTTTACAGAGCAGGTAGAATATAACGGGGTATAATCCAGTGTACCCCATGTTACTTAAAGAGTGCCCGTCACTCTTGTGGGACACCTGGTACACAGTACCAGGTGCTCTAGCTACTTAAGGGTAACCTCTAGTTTGTAACGAACCCCAGCTAAGCTTACTTATAAATACATCAGTCTTACATCTACTCTCCTAAGTAGCAAACCGTTCCCTCTCAGGCCGGGAACACGTGGACTAACATCCACTCGGGTAGTAAATACCCTTAAGCACTTCCTCTGTGCAAGGTGCCGTGTGACCCCGTCACACTTGGTAGCACTCGTAGTCAATCCTACACCTTCGCGGGTAGGTTGAACTACCTGAATCCTCTGTGCGCTCAGCGTATAAGCCACCATGGGCCGACGTGGGCTTCCTTGCTTGAACGACTCACAATATGAGTCTGTTCTACAGATGGGAGGCATCGTTGGACAAGATGTCCCTGCAGCTTGGCGGCGGCGACGCCTGCCGAGCAACACGAACGCGTGGCTGCGTTTAAGACCTACGAGCGCGGTCACCTCGCTCACGTCCACGGGGGTTTGGAGGCCTCGATGGCCGCTCCACAGGCGACCATGCCTAAGTCAAGAATGCTGGAGGTCCCCGCGTTTGAGGGGAAGGAAGGAGAGAACCTTCACTTCTGGGTCCGTGTGGTGGAGATCGCCATGAAGGCGGGTCCCATCTCGGACGAGCTCCTTCGGGTGGTTTTTTGCCCTGTCCAACCTTGGTTGACATGCCAAGCACTGGGCATACACCAGGGAGACGACATCTCCTGGATGCTTTGCATCCTGGGCTCAGCTGTGTGAGCAGCTTTGAGCCGCGTTCCTACCGGCGATCAACGCGTTCCGCCAGCGCTCACGCTTTCTCGCGTGTAAGCAAGGTAAGCGTGAGCTGCGAGAGTACGTGCAAGAGATGTGCACGTTGGTGGCATCTCTGGCAGGGAATCCTCTGCCTGAAGACATCAAGACAACAGTCTTCATGGACGGCCTGAAAGTCGGTCCTGCTCGCACCCAGCTATTCCGGGTGTAAGCGACAACTATAGAGGAGGCGATTCGAATCGCCCTCCAAGAAGAGTACAGCCACAAACAGGCTGGTACTCCTCGGGAAGAGAAACATCACCACGATGAGGATGGCGTTACTCGGGAGGCGGAGCACCGCAGCAACGACGCTGTTGCTCTTGCTGTCACGCAGCCCGTTGATGCCGGTGCGTACAGTGAACCCGAGCCCGTGAACTTAAGCTCAGCCGAGAGCTTGGTCCGCTGCTACGGATGCGGCGGACACGGTCACTATCAGCGTGTATGTCCCTCGTCAGTCCTCCGGAAGTAGAAGGCCAGTGGACCCCAGGTCCGGTGGCGCAGGCCACAGCCAGGTGGACGAAGACTCCCCGGCCACCAGTAGAGGCGGTATGCCCTACTGAAGAGCGCTAGGTCGTCGTGATGGGTGTGCAAGTTGTGCACACCACGGGACTTAGCCCAGAGAGACGTGGTTCTCTTAATCCGG